CCATAAAGGTAAGAGGAAGGGAGATCACTCTGCGTTCCTGCCGTGATGGCTCATGGATCGTAGGGAGGGCGGGATTGTTTTTCTTTTGAATCTTTTGTTGTTGGGATACAAAGATGGGTGTAGGTACTGTATTTGCATACTAAAGTTATGGTAATTATTACTGAAATGAAAACAGTCTTTATAATAAACACAATTCAAAGAGATTTTCAACAGGTTACTGCATGTAGTTCAATCATTGGTAATTACTAGATCCGTCACTTGATATTCATGTCTTACCTATATAAGATTAAATAAAACTTCAATATAAAGCTAGTAACCATCAATGACACACATTGAAACATAAGCTCTAAAGATATATATGAACCAAAACTTACTTATTATGACATAATGTAAGATTGCATTGATTGCTGAAAATTATGACAAATGGATTAATCTTTCGGACAAGTGGTTTTCAAAAGCACCAACTATCTTCCTGAAGCATTTTTATGTTACTTAAGGAATCACGTTAAGTTCTACCCACAAAAAATACAGCTGAAGTAAGTTGTTTTTTCTTTTTCATGTGACAAGACATTTTTTTCCAATTATCTGATAAGGACCCATTTACAGATAGACAGCTGCATTTCAAGCATATCTGTTGACTGTCGAGGTATTGGGGACAAATAAAACATAAGAAATCTTCTGTTATTTCAGGTCCATGAACAGTAACATAATATGTCTAAAGGCTACACATTTTACTGAAGAATATGAAAATATGATCAGAAACGATTGGGGATTCGAATTTCAATTCTTTTTCCATTTTATCAGAAAACTTACTCTCTGGTACAAGTAAATCAAACATAAAAGCTGTCTATACATAAGACCACTCTTTCCTTCAATTTCTCTTAAACTAAATAAATTTAAGCCAGGAAATAGTATTTGGAAATTTAAAGATAATTTAATAATAGGTCATTACAAGATGCAAAGTACTTAGACTTAGTGTAAGAAAGTATATTAGGATTTAGAAGTCTAGATTGCCTTCCAATTTACAATATTACTGCATTATCAAATATTCCAGATAATGATCTTCAGCTTATTATTGAAGACATTATTTTCATGGAAATTTTATTGCCATACTTAAGAGATAAAATGATTTCATAATCAACTTTTATTAAAAAACAACAGTACCAGAAAGAAACTGCTTTGAACAAATCTGTTGAAGAACTTTAAGAATAGGGTGAGATAAGCTTTACAGAATAAAAAAGTAAGTAGAAAGAGTAAGAATCAATCAGCAAGAAAAAATATTAAAGGGAGCTTAGTAAGATCAAGAGCTAAATGGGTTGAAGAAGGGGGGAAAAGCCTACTAGTTATTTTTGTAACTTGGAAAACAGAAACTATGTCAAAAATAATACCTTATGTGCAACTAGATAATGGATTAGTAATTACAAAACAGGCAGAAATATTAAATGTAGTTCAAAATTTCTATGAACAAGAGGCCCAAGGTCCTTAACGGATATCAAGTCACAATGGTTCTCATAACATGTCACAGAAAGGATTCTGTTAAAAACAGCAATATAACTTTAACTATATCGTACACATAATTCAAGCTGGCCCAAGCTAAGGCTTCTAACCAAGTTTGAAGTAAAAGAAATTTCACTCAAGATTTGAATTTTCCTATATAAAATCTTTCTTCCAGGAACAGTAGAACATCTTTGAAATTTAGTCAATTTGAACAACTTTTTTTCCCACCCATCAGCCCCTGGGAGTCAATCAAGGTCAATATGTGCATCTCATTAAACTGTCATCTTAAAATTATAAATATATCCAGGTTTGAACTATAATAGAAAAAAATAAACAATGTTCAAAAATGTGATTTTCCTATATAATCTATAGTAAATTTTACCCCCCCCCCCTAAGGGGTAAATGTGAGACCCTGAGGTCATGAAATTTAAATTTTGGTACAGCATCTGAAGGCCTTTCCATCCATGAAGAGTATGTGACTCTACCCTACCTGAAATTTGAGATTATTGAAGTTTCAATCAATTTGACTCTCTTTTGCCAAGTCCCACAGGCCCCTGGGGTTTGGAACCATTTAATTTACAAATTCGGAGTGCCTTAAGCCATGCAAGATTTTTGTAAAGTTTCACTGAAATTGGTTCAGGAGTTTTCCAGCAGAAGTTGAAAAGTTTACAATGCACGATGACAGACAAAAGGGGATGGCAATTGGTCACCCTGAGACTTTGTCTCTGGTAACCTAAAAATTTTACAGCTCAGATAGTGTAATAAACAACAGGCCCATGGGCCTCAACGGTCATCTGACCCTTCAGCTGTTTAGAGAAGGCAATACTAAGAAAATAAATGAAAAAGAAACAAATACATTAGAGGGCTTAATAACTCTGTCAAAAAATCTTACTAAGAAGCTGTTTTTCATGATGCAGACAGTAGTTTTGAAGAGGAGTAGGTAACTGTAACAGGTGTTACTTATTTTTTTACTGTAAAGTTGGAGCTCAATCCAAATGGTGAAACTTGAGAAGTTCGAAATAGATGTTGCACAGGAAAACCTTGATTGCACAACCATGTTACAAAATGGCCTCCCTGACTGCTGTATCAAGTTTTGATAAGGTCAAAAACAATAACAATACTTTAAAACTCCATTTAATCATTAAAAAGGAGTAGTGTTTTGGAGCAAAACGTCTTATTTCCCATTTTGGGGTCCCCCCCCCCCCCGCAAGTCCTTAAGAGCAGAATCCAACTTCTGCATGTAAGAAATGATTCCACACTCTTGATGCTTTTTCTGATCAAATTTGGTTGAAATCCATTCAATCATGAAAAAGGAGTAGTCTTTTAAAGCAAAATATTGTCTTATTTCCCCTTCTGGGGCCCTGCCCCAAGTTCTTGAGTCAAATCCAACTTCTGAATTTAAGAAATGATTCCGCACTCTTGATGCATTTTCTGACCAAATTTGATTGAAATCCATTCACTCATGAAAAAGGAGTAATGTTTTGGAGCAAAATATTGACAAATTTCCCCTTTTGGGGCCCCATCCCCAAGTCCCTAGGGGTTGAATTTAAAAAATAATTGTTTTCCCTTACTAATGAATCAGGCCAAAGCTTGTTGAAATTCACACAGGCCAAAAGGAGGAGTAGGGTTTTAAATCTAATTTTAGCACCTCCCCCTTATGGGCCCCATCAATCAACCCCTAGGGGTGGAATAGAAAATCTGAATAAAACAGATCATTATCCTCACCCAATGATGCATCAGACCAAATTTGGTAGAAATCCATAGAGGTATGAAAAAGTAGGGATTTAAAGAAAAAGTTTACTCAAGAGGCACAGGTGACGGACAAAAAGTGATGGCTGTAGGTCATCTTGACCCTTTGGGTCCTGGAGATTTATTGAAAAAGTCTTACTTTTCTCAGTTTCAGACAAAAAGGAGGAAATTTATCATCTTTTTGGTCTTTTTTTTTTTATTAAAAGTGGTTGCTGCCAAGGAGATCATATAGCTTCATATCTTTTCATCCTTTCATATCTTTTCATTCTATGTGCTGAAATTTTGGCTCTCAGATTAAGAAATATTGGTATTGAAATTGATAGATTGCCTGTTCTACCTTCACAATACACTGATGTATAAACAGTTGTATTAAATCAGCTGTACAAAAGTTTTTACTGTCAACTGATATCCCTGAATTTCCATTATTGCATCCTTACATACCAAGTACTATAGAAATATGCCTGGAAAAAGTGAAGTCTCTAAATATGTTTATATCTTATCAGAAAACAAAGCTGATTTAGCTAGGGCAAAAATTTATAACATTCCTTTCAATGTTTCTAAAACCACAACACTTCAATGGTTCCATTACAGAGTTAACCATCATATTTTAACTACCAACTCTTTTCTTTTAAAATCACATACAGCTATTTCACCATTTTCTAATCTATGTAACACTGAAAATGAAACTATCACACACATTTAATGGGATTGTAAAGTCCAGAGTCTACTAGTTTTCAAATCCTACTTGATGCATTGTTTATTCAATTAAATCATAAGTAGTCCTTTATTCTTGAATTGATATCACAGAAGAGTAATAAACACACAGTTGACATAAAACAGTATATATACAGAATGTGTTGATTTTACAACTTCCTTAATATCAACGGACCAATATCCACAATAAAAGATTTTCATAGACTGCAATAATTCATTTTTGTTAAAAAAAAAGAAAGATGGTGATGATGATGATGAATAGTGATGTTTTCGAGGATGTCGAGGTCAAAATGTTGGGAGATAATAATGAAAAATGATGTTAGGGATGATAATAATTGAAGACAATGATGATGAATAATGAGGATGATATGTTTATGGATGATGTTGTTGATGATGATGATAATGATGATGATGATGGGGAGGATTCCTTCATAATTGGTGTGCAAGGAGAAATGCAAGCGTGTGGGAGGAGATTTGTTTGTATCGTCTTGTATATGTTTTGTAACAAAAATAACTGAAAAATAAAGAAACTGCTCCAGAGACATATCTCATACTCAACACTAAGGAAGTACCTTATTCTCAACACTAGAGGCATTTGTCTATAGTTTATTATCGTAATATTCTGTAGTTCAGCTACAAATTTCCAGGATTTCAGGAATTTCCATATGAAAAAGCAAAATTTGTTTTTAATGATTTTTTTTAAATAAAATAAAATACAAATATCACTGAATGAAATGTGTTTTTTTATTATCATCGATCCAATGGCATCAAACTGTTTTTGTTATAATACTGTTGTAAACATTTTTCTTGGAAACATACTATGTAGCACTTGTATTAATAACAAGGCCAATGATAAGTAACATTAAAGGTTTTACAACACAGAGTTGAGACAGTACTAGCGAAATATTGCTTTTACAACATTTTGTCACAAGCTCTGTGGACAATTTCCTCTGGATCAAAGTCATCTTTGTGTGAATAATATCCAATGACCATTCTGTCCTCAACAGTAGAAACACTTCTTTTATTTTTATTTCTTTTATTCAAATTGCTATTAACAGCTCCTGTACTTTTCTTAAGTATGGAACTTTCTTAGCAGCCCAATATGCCACCAAAGACAACCTATGTGCTGCACACCATACATGAATTATGTGAGGATTCTGTGCCCTTAACTTCACTCCAACACCTGAAAGTCTACCAGTCATCACTGCTGCTCCGTCACTTCCAAATCCAGAAATGTTCTTGAAGCTAATGCCAACATCGTCCATCCAATTTACAATAGCATTATATATTGTATCTGCTTTTCCATCACTTACAGTTACATTTGCACAGAACTCTATTTTGATTTGACCAGCATGTACAATTTTACAAAACATAATAAGTTTTTTATTTGTGGCAATATCCATGGATTCATCTACCATAAGACCAACAAATGGACTATCTCTCACTCGGACAATGGTCAATTCTCTCAACACGTCTGCCAGTGCTCTTTGCATATCACTAGGTGCCTGATGATTTGTATAAATCCCACTTGATGAAGTTGAACTCCTTCCCGCGGAACTCTTTTGAACTACTGTTGATCCATTTGAAATCTGATTAAAAAATGAAATAATAAATTACTGGTAGTGGTATTCTTTAGTTTGTTTTATTCATAGATCATTTTAAAATGTTAATGTTAAATGACATGAATTTATTTTTAATTATTTACTATTAACTAGTTAAAATTTGTTATTTATCCAAATTAAAACTAAGAATGAAATCCTAACAATTTGTTTAATAACATGTCTCCAGTATAGTCACGTGTACAATGTATTTTGTGATTTTGTTTTTTATCCACATTGACAATATTCATAACAATGGTAATCATTCCCACTGTTCTGACCATTAATCAAATTTCTTACACTAATGAAATAACCACCTGCAGATCTACTAAGCTTATAAACTTGCGGTTAGCAATGTTCTCCTTGGCCAGCCACAGTGCCGTCTTCAGTTGAGCCTCGAGTATAGGCTGATAATTCTTTTTCAAGCATGTTTTGGCAGCGTTCATGTACACCTTTTGTCGTTTTGTCTGAATCGATAGTAGATGATCTTTTGACTGCTGATGTTGCACAAGCGCTGATCTCTGAAAATTTTTGGTTCCTTTACAAAACGGTGAAAATTTACAGTGCGGCATTTCCTTACATAGGGAACAGAACATACCGGAATCTTCTTTTCGCAGCCAATCGAATTCTGACAGCCATTTCTGTTGAAAAGTTTTTGGATATTGTGCCGATGATGTTTTAGTATGTTTTCTTGTTTCAGACGAGCTGTCTATTTCATCATCATCTCTACTTTTTCGTTTGTTTCTGCTAACAGCAGACGATTCCCAAAAGCTATTGAGTGTCACCTGCGCCATTTTGTGTATACATCTATGCATTCGGGTATCTCGGTTCTAGGCATAATCCGCATAAAGCGGCCCGACACGTTCCGAAGGATTATCATAAGTCTGACGGGTTGAGGGGCAAGAATTAGTGATTCATAAATGTGCGTGAATATTACGTATATCTCTGTATTTTCTTACGTGGGAATTTATATTTTAAACGTGAATTACGTACATATGTGCGTGAATGGGAACACTGCGTGTGCACACTCTTTACCTGAAGTGAGACTGTGTAAGCAACCCCTTAGATTATATAATCCCTAATTAGATAGAATTGGTACTTAAATGAGATGTATGATGAATTATCACCATATGGAAACCACTCAGCATAAAAAAAAATCATTAAAAACAAATTTTGCTTTTTCATATGGAAATTCCTGAAATCCTGGAAATTTGTAGCTGAACTACAAAATATTACGATAATAAACTATAGACAAATGCCTCTAGTGTTGAGAATAAGGTACTTCCTTAGTGTTGAGTATGAGATATGTCTCTGGAGCAGTTTCTTTATTTTTCAGTTATTTTTGTTACAAAACATATACAAGACGATACAAACAAATCTCCTCCCACACGCTTGCATTTCTCTTCTCCTTGCACACCAATTATGAAGGAATCCTCCCCATCATCATCATCATTATCATCATCATCAACAACATCATCCATAAACATATCATCCTCATTATTCATCATCATTGTCTTCAATTATTATCATCCCTAACATCATTTTTTAACAAAAATGAATTATTGCAGTCTATGAAAATCTTTTATTGTGGATATTGGTCCGTTGATATTAAGGAAGTTGTAAAATCAACACATTCTGTATATATACTGTTTTATGTCAACTGTGTGTTTATTACTCTTCTGTGATATCAATTCAAGAATAAAGGACTACTTATGATTTAATTGAATAAACAATGCATCAAGTAGGATTTGAAAACTAGTAGACTCTGGACTTTACAATCCCATTAAATGTGTGTGATAGTTTCATTTTCAGTGTTACATAGATTAGAAAATGGTGAAATAGCTGTATGTGATTTTAAAAGAAAAGAGTTGGTAGTTAAAATATGATGGTTAACTCTGTAATGGAACCATTGAAGTGTTGTGGTTTTAGAAACATTGAAAGGAATGTTATAAATTTTTGCCCTAGCTAAATCAGCTTTGTTTTCTGATAAGATATAAACATATTTAGAGACTTCACTTTTTCCAGGCATATTTCTATAGTACTTGGTATGTAAGGATGCAATAATGGAAATTCAGGGATATCAGTTGACAGTAAAAACTTTTGTACAGCTGATTTAATACAACTGTTTATACATCAGTGTATTGTGAAGGTAGAACAGGCAATCTATCAATTTCAATACCAATATTTCTTAATCTGAGAGCCAAAATTTCAGCACATAGAATGAAAAGATATGAAAGGAGAGAGAACCAGCAACACTGATTACAGGAATGTTCAATTTTTCCAAAACATCAGTTGCTATGACAGTTTACTTCATCTCGTTTAAAATCCAAAGTCTTTTTTTTTTTTTTTTTTGCAATGTACATAACCCATGGCCATTCATTAACCTGAAAAGAATAAAACATTTTGATTTAAATGATGAATAATTATCTGAGCCAACATTCTTTAGCTGTTTGGTTTATCTATTCATTTATTTATCTATTTATTTATTTACTTTGATTTGAATACAAAAAAAGTCGTAGTGAAAACTCCTGTACAAGTGGTATAAAATTTGTATGGCACTTCTATAGCGTTCTATAGCTTTCTTGGAAATGTTTACTTCATATATACAGATGAGAACAGTTTCTTAATAAATCAAATTTAAATTTAAAACACAATCATTCATTAAATCTTCAGTAAAACTGAAGTTGATATCTTGCAATTTAATATGAAATCCTTGTTCACATGTCATCACAAGTTATTTAATAATTAAGATAACTTTATAAGATATTGACTTCAGTTTACATTATTTTTATAGTTTTTAATTGGGAAAAGTAATCATGGGTGAGAGGCACTTGTTTTGAAATTAGTTAGGTGTTGGGGTTAAATCCCCATTTTTGTAATTAATATTCCATATACTAAATGTTCCATGACTAGTGGGGTTGCTTAAAAAAATATAGATAAATTTGTAAAAGCTCAAACAGAAATTGGAAACAATTTAACAAATGATAACTCATTATCAGTTCATTTCAGATATTAGACAATTTGTAAAAGCTCAAACAGAAATTGGAAACAATTTAACAAATGATAACTCATTATCAGTTCAGTTCAGATATTAGACAATTTGTAAAAGCACAAACAGAAATTGGAAACAATTTAACAAATGATAACTCATTATCAGTTCAGTTCAGATATTAGACAATTTGTAAAAGCACAAACAGAAATTGGAAACAATTTAACTCATTATCAGTTCAGTTAAGATATGACATCTTCCATATAAAAGTGCACCACTGTCTGTCAAAATGTGTAAAGTCATTTATTTCTGCTAGTTAAGGTTTTTAATTGAAATTATTATTTCATGATGTTGTTATCTTCCATTTTTATCAGTAAAAAACACTTTCAATGAAGAAAAAATCAATGCATATAATAATAAATGAATTTTGATTTTGATTTAATTGGTGTTTTTGACAGATTTTAACTCCTTGACAAACAGACATGGCAAATGATGATGTATTTTTAAATAATTGGTTTTGTTGTATGCCACCTCTTTTATGCAAAACGTATATCTTGTATCACATATTTTATGTTTGTGAGCCTTAAACTGTTATTCTTTATACACAATAAAAGAAATTAAGAATATAAATTGGAAATGATGATGTGTTTTTGTGTCTGTCAAACTTCATGACGTTTTTGCTCACTTTTAGAGATGGGCTGTGCACGTCTATTTTCAAAATATTTCTGCATTTAACTGATATAAAATTGTAACTTAAAAAAAAAAAAAGTTCATAAGCCATTGCTATATCACCTGGAAATTACGGATAATATGCTCTTAAGAATAACTAACGTCATGTCCGTCAAACTCGGAAATTTCATTCGCTGACGATCGCCATCGGTCTATACCGGCCTACGCTTAGCTCCCTTACGATGAAGCCAAGTCCTTCCGCTAGGATCGCTGCATGTCTAGCAATAACAAATTGAATACAACTGCTTCTTCAATCAAGTAGGGAGGTCAAACATAAACTTAATCAACTCAGCTCAGAGGAAATATATCAACGCCACCACCAATACAAACCTGCTGTCAAGAAAAGAAGTATGTTGTTGTTAGCAGAACAGCACAAGCAGCATGCGAAAAGGTCCAGGTCCGCTCGGAAGTCTGACTACAGGAGAGGTCAGCTAGATCCCAACATCCATCCATGTAGGGGAGACAGCCGACCTCAGGACCACCTGTATTGAGAAGAAGAGGTGACAACAAATTTATTAGAGACATGTCAACAATCAGAATAAAAAACACAAAATAATGTAACAACAACAGCAACAACAACAACAAAATATATGACTACCTAATGAGGGAACCTCCACGTGGTGGTAGTCGGACAATGTTGTATACATCAGTGTACAATAGCTAATACCCTCAAATCAATAAAAACTCAATTACATTTTCAAATTCAACATGCAGTCACTGAACCCTAAATGACCATAACACACATTTGAATTTAAACAGTACTGCCTGTTATTATTTACAAAATGAGGTTCTGAACTTATGTGCTCTACATTTAAACATAAACTATTATGACAGAGATATGGGAACAGTCCAGATCACTTGACAATTCTAAATTTTCAGAAAAACAAATAAAAGCAAGTCTGTGTGAATGTTTCTTTTTCCATTTTAAATCACTGGGGTCCTTAAATGACAGAATTCCATATTTCCCTGTCCTTGTTACAGGTCCAATCCAAATCCTACACAAGCCATTATCTGGGCTAACCACAGAATTTTCTAAGATCTTGTACTTGTATAATTTGAAAAAAATCCTCCATCTTAACTTTTAAAAATCTGGCGTAGGAATACACAAGAACACAAATATGCTAATTTGATGTTATTTATAGATGTCCTGATCACTCCAGAAAATAAAGTTTAAAAATTTTCTAAAAATTTAATTTAATTAAAATTTTAATTATAATCGAAGTGATGATTTAAAAATTATTTCACTACCTAATCAGTCATGAAATATAGAACAACCATGCCAATTTGTATGAGAATCGGTCAAAAAATGTGGGTATGAGAAATAAAAACATGGATTTTTAGGCATGTCATTAAGGACTAAGACCACAATTAATTTCACTATATGTTTCATTGTAACATTAAAATTCATAACTAAGTCCCAAAGTTTCATCTGCAAATTTCCATTTCACCTGGCCAAGATCAACATCTGAGAAGCAAAATGTAAAAGTTTCAACCCATCATGTTGGGCATTTTCTGGAGATATACCTCCATATGTGTCACCAACGTCAATTATATACATCCGGGTCAAGGGTAAAGGTGAAAACAGGACTTTTTACACCGGATCCTGCAGCACAAAATACATGTTCAATATGAATGATTTACACACTGACAGCTAGATTATCATCTCTATAACACATCTACAGCAAATTTATAGGCAAACATCCAATTCAAAGAGGCATATTATTTTTTCCCAAATATACATACATTTTTTAGGGACTTCATTCGTGGGTACTGAACCCGGAAGTATTTAATTGTGGTCTTAGTCCTATTATAGGACACTTTTTTTTTTAAAATTAAAAAAAAAATATTTTCATCAACTGTGAGCTATTTCAAACATTTCGGCGTAAACAGAATCAGCGTAGGTCAAATAAAACAGGAGTTATGAAGAATTGAAAAACCCCTCTCAGACTGAGATTTTAACTCAGCTTTACATACACTTTGCTGTACATATCACAGACACCAAGCGTCAGGACATGAAATAATCAATAGATAACAGTGAAGACTTGCAGTAAACAATCACAGTGAATGACACCCACT